GAGTGTCCCGGGTCCTTTCAAGCCGCTGCCCAGCGCTGGGCTCCAAGGGACCGTCCAAGTGAGTCTGTGCGCGGGCCCTTTAGGAGGAGCTGCTGGGGCTCCCGCAGCCTCCCTGACCCTCAGGGACAGTCCCCGCTGGNCAGCCTCCGTGACCCTCAGCCACAGTCCCCGCTGGGTTCACAGCCCAGAGTTGTGGGAGCATCTCTTTCCGGCCCTGGAGCCCTGGGCTGAGGGCCCGCTGTGGGGCTGGGACCCCTCACTCCTCCAGGATACCTCTGCCACCGAGATTCCCTCCCGGATTTCAAATGTGGTACTGGGTGTGGGCCCCTGGCCACATCTCCGGGACCCAGCCCTGCCCCGCCCGAGTCTCCACCCCTCCTCCCGGTCTCGATGTTCCTTCAGTTCCCTGGTTGTGGGGCTTCTGTTCAGCTAGATTTCAGGAGGCTCTGAGTGATGGCAGTTCTGTATTTTAGTTGTGATTTTGATGTGGTTGTGGGAGGCAGCGGGTGCAGCTGTGACCTATGCCTCCAGCTTGTTTCCCTTGTTCAGTACTTTAAACACAGCAAGTGCAACTGAGGATCAAAATGTTAAATTATATTTAATTTTAATTAATTTAACTATAGTCACACGTGGCTGATGGCTACTGTGTTACTGTATGGGAAAGTATAGTAGCTCCAGGATCTTACATAACCCTGATTGAGAGGAAAGACTTTAAAATATGGTTCCTTTCCCAGCACACACTCAAGTTCCTTTACCTAGCAAATAGATATGTGGTTTCTGGAGAACATTTTAATTTATTTTAATCTAGTAAAGAGCGAGAAAATAGTTTATTTTTTCAAGGTCAATTTCATTTTATAGCCTGATTAATTGAGATGTGTGTGTGATTTTTGTTTTTTGTTTTAAATAGTCCCAGGGCCTATGTAATGCCCCTCATCTTAACAATTAGATCTATTTAGAATGCATGTTGCTTGTTTGCTTTGTATGTGAGCATCTACTCACATGCACACATATGTATTTAAACATGGTGGAAATACATATCCTCTTTGCTTAGAAAACCACATAAGCCTGGTTAGGCCTCAGATAATTGCTGATGTGAATAGTCTTTCTTGATAATAGTAAGATGCATAAAATATTATAGAACATATACTGATAACACAATTTGTTCTCTAGCAGAGCAGCCTACTTTATATTAAAGTTTTATTATACTACATTTTTCTCTGTCCTGTGTTTCAGCATGCTGGTTGCCTTTTCTCAGATTCTCCGGAAGTCCACATTAGACGAGATTTTAAAACTGACAAATGAAATAACTGATTTTGCAAAAGGATGTGCTCATGACCAGTTAGCTGAAAATGTTTGCAACTTATTTGTAAGTACATTGAGATTTTGTTTTCGTCTTTAAATTTATCTTTATTGTTGAAAGTATTACACATACCCCTCTTTCCCCCCCCATTGACCCCTTCCACTCTGCTTCCCCCATCCTCCCCAGGTCTTCATTGCACTATTTTCTTCATCCATGTGTTATGCATATATGCATGTAAGTTCTTTGGTTAATCTCTTCCCACCTCCCACCCCACCATTTCCTCTGAAATACATCAGTCTGTTGTATGCTTCAATGTCTCTGGCTCTATTTTGTTCATTAGTTTATTTTGTTCATTAGCTTCTTCTTAAAAAAGACCCTTCAACATTTCATGTAATACTGGTTTGGTGGTGATGAACTCTTTAGCTTTTTTTTGTCTGTGAAGCTTTTTATCTGACCTTCAATTCTAAATGATAGCTTTGCTGGGTAGAGTAATCTTGGTTATAGGTACTTGGTTTTCATCATTTTGAGTATTTCTTGCCACTTCCTTTTGGCCTGCAAAGTTTCTGTTGAGAAATCAGCTGACAGTCATATGGGGGCTCCCTTGTAGGTAACTAACTATTTTTCTCTTGCTGCTTTTAAGATTCTCTCTTTGTCTTTAACTTTTGTCATTTTAATTATGATGTGTCTTGCTGTGGGCCTCTTTGGGTTCCTCTTGTTTGGGACTCTCTGTGCTTCCTGGACTTGTAAGTCTATTTCTTTCCCCAGGTAGGGGAAGTTTTCTGTCATTATTTTTTCAAATAGGTTTTCAATTNGGACTCTCTGCACTTCCTGAACTTGTAAGTCTATTTCTTTCACCAGGTAGAGGAAGTTTTCTGTAATTATTTTTTCAAATAGGTTTTTAATTCCTGGCTCCCTCTGTTCTTCTGGCACCCCTATGATTTGAATGTTGATACGCTTGAAGTTGTCCCAGGGGTTCCTTACACTATCTTTATATTTTTGGATTCTTTTTTCTTTTTGCTGTTCTGATTGGATGTTTTTTTGCTTCCTCATATTCCAAATCGCTGTTTTGATTTTCAGCGTCATTTACTTTATTGTTGATTCTCTGTAAATTATTCTTCATTCCAGTTAGTGTATGCTTCATTTCTGGCTGGTTCTTTTTTAAGTCATTAATGTTCTCACTAATTTCCTTGAAATTCTCACTAAGTCTCTTGAAATTTTCATTAAGTTCTTTGAGCACCCTTATAACCATTGTTTTGAACTCTATATTTAGTGATTTGCTCGCTTTCATTTCATTTAGTTCTTTTTCTGGAGATTTTCTCTCTTCTTTCACTTGTGGCATGTTTCTTTGTCTCTGCCTTTTGGCTGCTTCCCTGTGTTTGTTTCTATGTATTAGGTAGAGCTGCTGTGTCTCCTGGAATTGGTAGAATGACCTTGTGGAGTAGGTGTCCTGTAGGGCCCATTTGCCTGAGCTGGGCACTCTAGGTGCTCCCCTGTGTGGGTTGTGCACATTGACCTGTTGCAGTGGAGCCTTGATTGCTGTTGGCATCACGAGGAAGAAATGATCCCCAAGCCAATCTGCTGTGAGGACCCTCTGCAACTTCAGAAGAGCTGCTGTGCAGGAGACACCCCTATGGAGCAGGATTTGCTTCAGTGATACTTTAGTGCTCACTGAGTCTGCCCCTTGAGTGTGTTACTCATGGATGTCATAGGGTTGTGATCTGACATGGTCTGAACCTGACCACCGGGTGCATTGTTCTGGGGCCTCCTGGGAGGTACAAAGTCAGCTTCTGCCCTACCCAGGACCACCCAGCATGAGCTACACAGCAATCTTCAGATGGCTGGTACTTGTGTTGGGCTTGGAGAGGCCAAGCTATGAACCAAGGAGGGCTGCCCCTAATGCCAGGCCTGGGGCCACTTATAGAGAGGTATGTCGCATGCTGAGGCCAGCTGCTGCTTGTATGAGAGATTTTAGGAAAGTCTGAAGCATAAGGCAAGAAAGACCAGTAGTATGGAAAAGCCACTGGAAATGGTTGGATGAACCTACAAGTAGGGAAGAGCAAGGTCTCAGGGAATCACCATGGCAGAGCAAAAAGTATGAGCCAGGTTAATGGAGGTTCAGGTTTGGCTCCTGCCTGACAGTTCTCTGTGTGTGTGTGTGTGTGGGGGGGCTCATCAAAGGAGCAATGGCCTCTACCAGCACTTCTGTCTGGGAGAAGGCTCCCCTTCCAGCTCCCTCCCTGATTCCAGGCAAATTAGTTTCTCCCTAAATGTCTCAGGTTCTTTTCAAGCTGCTACCCAGCACTGGAACTTAGAGGGAGTGAATCTGAGTAAATTGTGGGTGAGCCCTTAAAGAGGAGCTGCCTCGGGCTCCAGCAGTCTCAGCCTCCCTCAGCCTCAATCCCCGCTTGTTTTCACAGCCCGAGGTTGTGGGGACTTCTCTTCCTGGCACTGGAACCCTGGGCTGGGGGTCCTGGTGTGGGGCTGGGACTCATTGCTCCTCTAGGAAACCTCCATCAACTGAGATATCCTCCCCAGCTTTAAACCACCACACATGGGTGTGGGTCCAGCCAGTTTTGCCATTCTGCCCGGTGCCTCTGCCCCTCCTACAGGTCTCCATGTGCTTCTTCTTTAATTCCCTGTTTGTAGGATTTCCATTCAGCTAGATTTCAGGTGGTTCTGAATGATGGTGATTCTGTATTTTAGTTGAAAATTTGATGTGGTTGTGGGAGGCAGTGAATACCATGTTAAGCTATGCTGCCATCTTGACTGGAAGCCACATTGTAATTTTCAATGTTATTCCTCCTAATTTTAAGTTATTCTAGGCATTAAAAAGGGAAGACATCCCATTTTGGCTTTCTCAGTTATTTCTAAATGACCATATTTGTAAGCAACACTCACAAATGGGTAGAGCCATTGTTTCTTCAGTGATAGAGACAATCTAGCTATGCCCACAGTTTTAAAGCATTTCTTTATTGAGACCACACACAATGGTCAAAGTGTATTTAAATGGAAATTTGTCATTTGTAAAAGTCTCTTTTAAATCTAAAGTTTGATTTGTTTTCATAGATGCTGATAGTGACAGGATGCTTTTTTAATCTTCAGAAAGCACTCAGCTGATTTCCACGATAATTTTGTTATCTGGGTAAAATAATACTACAGCTATATATTCCTCATTTTAGGAATATTCACACTTTTACCTGAAATAACATATTAGGGCATTCATATGTGTTAAAGGAAGCTGAGCTTTTCTTATTTCCAGATAAGTCTTCAATACAAGTGGAGGTGAATGTTTCTCTCATCACTCAATCTATATATACTTTTCTAGGTGGCAAGTCCATTTTTATTTATCATGAAGCCTTTTCTCCTTTTACTTCTCTTTATATGTCTCTTTCCCTTAAATCAGGATCAGTACTTTAACTTCACCAAATATTATGGTTCTAAATATGAATTTTTTTAAATGTATTTTTTGAAAATTAATACATTTTGTCTTGAGCAGTATATTTTCCCTGGTGTTACAATTATTTTCATAATAGAAGTTAATGGGGATGGAAAGAATTCATTTAATGGAATGTGCTTTGAAGCAAATGTTTCTAGAATAAAAAGTTCTACATTTTAATGCAATAATAATTAATATATAGTGAATTGTGTTACTTCTGAGTCTTTAAATGGTATCTACTGAAAAGTTGGATCTCTCACAAAGGAGTAGGTCAAATGAGAAACTATCGTAACACTTTCTTCTCTAATGTGAATTCACCTGCTTAGAGGAGTATTTTTTCCTTGATTCCTCAGGTGAAAATTGGGGTACCATTCATTCTTTAAGTCACTGACTGTCATTTTGCTCTTCTATTTTATCCACTGTAAATAACAGTGTTACAGTTACTTCTTTTAAAAGTACACATAGATGATCAAATCAAGGGAAACTCTCTAAACCTGAGAAAAAAAGGAGATTTTTATATGATTTCCTCACCAAGGTATACTGGTGTGTTACATTTTAAATACTGTTCTTTGGGTATAAAGAAAATAAAATATTGCCCAGCCATCTGAAGCCCTCTGTCCCCCGTTTAGCACACCACTTTTGCATATAAACTGTGTTCAGTCGCATCTCTTCGTGCCTCCTATGGGGACATGGCTGACTGCTGCGAGAAACAAGAGCCGGAGATAAACGAGTGCTTCCTGAGACACAAAGATGATAAGATATACTTCCCTATAACTGTGATACCAGAGCCCGATGCAATGTGCACTGCCGTTCAGAAAAGTGAACAGAAGTTTCTGGAACAGTAAGTAATCAAGTCTTTATGCTTCAAAATAAAAAATTATGAGATAGGCCAAGACTCAACTAGAATTACTATAACAAAAATATTTTCCACATTAAGACTTAGAGACTTTTGTTCTAATGACAGTTTTCAAAGAAGTAATATTTGATACTATAAAACTTAACACAATAAAAGATTTGACCAGTTATCTGTTGGAATTAATTGAAAGAGGATATGACCTGCATGAAAAACACTGACATGTATTAAAATATTATGGCCCAGCTGGTGTGGCTGAGTGGTTGAATGTGGACCCATGAACCAAGAGGTCACCAGTTTGATTCCCAATCAGGGCATATGCCTGGGTTACAGGCTCCATCCCCAAGTGGTAGGCATGCAGGAGGCAGTCAATTTGATGTTTCTCTCTAACCCTTCTCCTTCCTCTCTCTATAAAACTCAATAAAAACATATTTTAAAAAAATTACAATATTTTAAACAAAAATAAAAGTATTTGATAGTGAACAAGAAAAAAAATATTACAAATATATATGTTTATTGTCAGAATTAATTTCATTTTAGTCAATAACCTTATATCACCAATATTTAACTATTTTATATGTGTGTATATACTTTATACATATATGTAAGTTTAATCTTTTCATTGAATTAAAAAATGACAAAGACGTCATCAGGTGCAAATTGAGTTTAATTGGTAAGTTAGATGTCTATGGGCTTTTGAGTTTCTAGGGAAATCGTTGATAATTATTGTTCCTGTGATACTGTCTGCTACAGAAAAATGACTGCCTATTCTTCTTTTTAAAAATTCAGATCCTTATATGAAGTTGCCAGAAGAAATCCTTACTTTTATGGCCCAGAGCTCCTTTACTATGCTCAAGAATTTATAGGAGATTTAACAAAATGCTGTGAAGCTGCTGATAAAGTTGCCTGCCTGGGACCAAAGGTATGTCCCAGCAGAGGAAGACGAGAACCAGTTCAGACTCCAGCCTCAGATCTGGGGCTCGGTGTAGGGAACCTAAGTCTCTGATACAAACTTCTTTACCTGGTGAAAAAAGCCTTCCTTACTCTCATCCAACCCAAAGATTTTCACCCCCTTGGAAGGCCCATGACATCGTCATTCCCCCTCTAAGTTCTGCCCCGTGGATCTGATAGAGGGAGTCACTGTGTATGTATCTAAATATCCCTCCTCTTTTTGTATGAAATACAGAAACTCGTTTGTAAAATTGCACAGCAAAGGGCCACAGGTTTTGTTTACCTTTTCATGAGCCTTTCCTGTTGGGGAAGGAATTCAAAGTGGAGAAGTTCACTGCATCTAGAAGCCTGGGTTTATTCATTCATTCCATAAATATTTATTACGTCCTGGTCATCTTTTCTAGGGAGTTTATTGATGTGAGAGCTGGTGAAGGAGGGATTGAAATGAAATTATGCAAAATTAAGAAGTCAGTAGGATTATATTCCCTGGGATATTAGTGTAGTCTGTTCTTCTACCTTTCCCTCCAGCTCCCCTTTCCCGGCAATGCCCACATGCTGGTTCTACACTGCCTGGGGGCTTCCACTATGACCAGGCTGAGTTTTCCTCTAAATACATAGCAAAATAATTATTTGCCAATAGTGAGTATTTGGAAATTAGGTGTACAGTATATCTTTAAATTTTAATTTGTCATAGTTTCATCTGAACTTATGAAGGGGTGTTTCATATAGAATATTTTTTCTAACTTTTTTCATCACCATTTTTCCCCCATCTCCTCTTCCACCTTCATCTACTCTCCTAGGCCCCCTAATCACCACACTGTTGTCTGTGTCCATGAGTTCTTTCTCCCTTTTTGCTCTTTTTATAGAATTTTAAAAAATGTCTTCCAAATTATTTCCTTTTGCAGATTAGTGCCACAAAGAAAAATGTACTGTCTGCAGCTTCCAGAGAGAATTTCAAGTGCTCCATTCTCCACGCTGGTGGAGAAAGTGCTTTGAGAGAATGGTATTTTAACTTTGATTTTGTACTTTTAATGATGTAAAAGATGATGGCTTAGTTGACATGACTGTACATTTTTATGAGTTTTTACACAGTGCTTTCACATACACTTTTTTTGTTGTCTAAAAGATAGAAATTTAACAGAAGTGAAAAAGAGTATAAATGACAATTTGTCATTTTTTAATCATATTTTTTCAGAGTAGTAAAAATATTTAAGGCTATCTTTTTTGGCATTCTAAAACAGGTATTTAAACTCCAATTTATTGATGAAGACTAGGGATCTTATTCTAATGGTCCACAATTTTTATGCAGTTGTAGTCAGGGTCTGTTATTTTATTTTATCTCTCCACCCCCCTGCAATTATCTGAAACCGTCTGCTTGTTTTTTATGTTCTGGTAATTAAATTCACCCATCAAGGTCACTTCTCATTTTCTCATACATTCAGTTCTATTCTTAATTTCTGTGTTTGCCTGGGCCTCTATTTTTATATAACTTCGCTGGTTCTAGGAGTATCCTTCAACATCTGAGCCAAGAAGCCCCACCCCAATCCCAATTCCCTCACTTGCTAATCAACAGTGAATCAACATGAACAGAGGATAAAATGAAAATAATAGACATTTTGCAAGGTTTCTAGAAACCATCATGTGAACTATCTTTGCCTGTCACCTTTATCATCTACACAACAAAATCAAAGAAATAATTAAACAAAACCCCAATGTCAAATAATGCACATTTAGACAGGCTGTGACTGGTTTTGGGGAAGAAGTATCTTTTATCAGATTTAGGCAACTCTGAAATGATTTGTGAAGGCCTGTGGATATTAGCCTTTTACATCTTGTCATCAGGCTAAGAGACTGTGCTGGATTAATTTCTTGGTAAAAATATGTTAAATTCTGTAATTTGCAAAAGGTGTGAAATTTCTTTTTCCAGAGTCCTTCAGAAATCAGGAAGAAGTCTATTTAGTTGGTAAAAAAAGATAACTGGAGTTTGTATGGCCCTTTCCAGTTTATAAAATGCTTTCATATACATCAAGTAATTTAATTCTCACCATGCCCTTTGATGTTGCATGTTGTTGTGACTCTGCAGGGCTGAAGCTCGGAGGGTCTAAGTAACTTGCCCAGGCTCACACGCTAATAAGCAATAAAGTCAGATCTGGGAGTCGGAAATGGGCTCCAAACGGGATGCTTCTCAGGTGTCACCTTTTTCAGCATCCCTCTTTGAGTTCTGATTTTATGAATTGCTGACTTTCTATTTGCCACACACTCTTACAATGGCTAATTCTGCCCTAAGAAAATATTTTGCCCTGAGATAATTTGGTTCAGAACTACCACTAAAATAAGAACTAATGAATTTTACAAATTATTTCTATATTTCACTTAGTCCTGAATTTTTGTGTTATAAGTAGTATTTTTCTAGTGCTTTCATATAAAATATTGCATGTTAATAAATTGTGATGGGGAAATTTTCTTTTTAGGTTCTTAGTTCGCCTGAGCCAGAAATTTTCCTGTGCTGACTTTATGACGGTTTCCAAATTGGTGACAGATCTTACCAAAACCCACAAGGAATGCTGCCAAAGTGACCTGCTTGGATGTGCAGATGACAGGGTAAGTAATCTTCAGTATTCTCTCTGGTAACTTTGCTTTAGTAACATTTTGTACTTGGTACAATGAATTTGTTTTGTATAATTGGTGACAGCTGACAGTGCATTGAAATTGTCTTCTATGTCTAATATGCTAAATTGTGGTACATTATTTATTTTTAATAAACCTGCCTATCCCACTCACAAAATGATATAATAAATACATTCACTAGTTTGTAGTGCCTTTCAGTCACATTCTAACTGAGAAGAAAGGATTAAACTGAAGTAGGACAGCTGCAAAGGTAGACTTCTAAGATTTTTTGGGATGTGGGTAGAGTTGGAGAAGAGCTGGTATCTGAAGAGAACTTTAGAAATTATGTATTTTTTCTCTGTATATTCTCCCTTAATATATGAATATTTAGCATGCCATCTCTTTCCCCAAAATGTAAATATATGACCAAATATCACAATCTTCATCTCTCAGAACACTTTCTGGAAAATTTAAGGCAGATATTTTACATGTGTAAGTAGGGCCTGTGACTATGATTCTTGACTAATTTTCCCCAAATCCCTCAATTTTATTTAGTTATTTGGTTTCAAAATGCCTGTACTTAATGTTGAGGAATATTTGGAAAAACAATAATTTATATATATATATATATATAATTTTCATTTCTCATTTAAATTTATTATTCTATATTAATTTCAGATGTACAACAGAGTAGTTAGAACATCATGTACCTTATAGTACAGAGTGGCCCCCTGACGTTTCCCACACATAGTCATTGTGATACTATTCCCTATATTCCCTGTGCTGTAATTTACTTCTCTGTGACTATTCTGTAACTACAAATTTGTACTTCTTTTTTTTTTTTAAATCCTCACCCAAGGATATTTTTTCCATTGCTTTTTAGAGAGAGTGGAAAGGAGAGAGAGAAACATTGACATGAGAGACGCATTCCTTGGTTGCCTCCTGCACATTCCCTGCGGGGCAGGGATTGAGCCTGTATCCGAGGTACTGCCCTTGGCCAGTACTGAACCTGGGACCCTTCGGTCCTTGGGCTGATGCTCTAACCACTGAGCAAACTGACTAGGGCCAAATTTGTACCTCCTAATTCCTTCATCTTTTTCACCCAGCCCCCTAATGCTGGATTTTAATTTAAAAACTTAAATGCCTTAACAGTAGAAATATAAAATTAATAAATGTTACTGACTAATTTTTAATCAAGTGGAAGTATTTTAGTAGTTCTATCTGACACTCTAGATTTAGAATCACAGACTGAAAATGTTCGTAGAAGGCAGGTAGGTATGTATGTGGTCTTAGTATACAATGGACATGTTCTGCCAACGTAATAAATGTTTGGAGAAGAAGTATAGTGATGTCAATTTATGTTGAACAATTTTCGTCAACTTTCTTATAGGCGGATCTTGCCAAGTACATGTGTGAAAATCAAACATCAATCTCCAGTAAATTGGCAGAATGCTGTAATAAGCCTGTGTTGGAAAAATCCCACTGCCTTGCTGAGATGGCAGGTGATAATTCGGTTACTAGCTTGGTCCCATTAACTACTGATTTTGTTGAAAATAAGGACGGTTGCAAAAACTATATGGAGGCAAAAGATGTCTTCCTGGACAAGTAAGTGGATAAAAAAATGACCCTTTCATAGCTTTTATATGGTCTGAGGATTTAGGAAACAGTTCTAGGCTTTCCTTTGGAGTGGTTACAATTGTTACCTACAGTGCTGGTTTATCCTTCCCTCTCCGAGCCTTTAAAAGTTTTTGGAAAAAATAGTTTTAAAAAATTGTAAAAAATAATACCTGCCCAAAAGAGAACAGTACAAAGTAATGAGTAGAAGTTTCTATCATTAACTCCCCTCTCCCTCATTCCTTACCCTTAGGGATATTTCTGGAAATACCTCTAGAAACATTTTGTATATACATAAATTATATACATATTATTTAATCATTCAAAGAGTATTTCTTGAACTCACCATGACGTATATGGGTGAATATGTGTCATCCATCTTTATATCTCCGTGTCTATCTCTGTATCTATCTGGCTGCAGCACAGAGGTATAAACAGAAGTATGGAGTCTGCTACCAGGTGCTTTATATTTGTTTGTAAAGACCAGAAGCTCAATAGCATGACGAGGTGGCGTACAATTAAATGATAAAATTAATGATTATGTAAAGTCGATAAATGGTGATAAACTTTGAATTTTTACTGTTGGATTGCAATAGTATTCTGTGCACTGAATAATATTTTATAAAATTATGTACCCTTCAAAATTTCACTCATACAGAGAGGAAAATAAAAATTTAAGAATATCTATCTATCACCTATCATCTATCTATATCTATCTATCTATATCTATCTATATCTATCTATCTATATCTATCTATATCTATCTATATCTATATCTATCTATCTATCTATCTATCATCTATCTATATCATCTATCTATCTATCATCTATCTATCATCTATCATCATTTATCTATCTATCATCATCATCTATCTGTCTATCATCTATCTATCATCAATCTATCAGAATCTTTTTGAGATATAGTCCAAATAAAACAAAGTATACATAATAACAGGAGTCATTTCTTAAACATTTAATATGTGCCAGTGTGTGTTATGCATAAATTATGTCATGTGTTTCTCACAATCCACCTTATGAGATAGATCCTATTATTATCTCCATTCTAAAGAGAAGGAAACTAAGGTTCTGATAGTTTTAATAAATTGCATAAGGTGATATAGTAAAATAAGTGTGTTAGAGCAAGGATTTGAATGATGGTAGCTTAACTCTGAACCCCTAGGCTTTAGCTACCAACCTTTACTTGCATGGGTTTAGTCAAATTGAGACCGTTGGGATATGAGTTATTTATTTATTTTTTAAATATATCTTTATTGATTTCAGAGAGAGGAAAGGAGAGGGAGAGAGAGAGATGGAAACATCAAGGATGAGAGAGTCTTGATTGGCTGCCTCCTGCACACCCCCAACTGGGGATTGAGCCCGCAACCCCGGCATGTGCCCTGACCGGGAATCGAACCCTGATCGCCTGGATCCTAGGTTGGCGCTCAACTGCTGAGCCACGCCTGGCTGGGCAGGATATGAGTTATGCTTGTGGTTATTAGGTCATTTTTCTTGCTTCTTTATTCAACTAAGTCTATTTTATTTTCATCTTAATTAGGTTTTTGCATGAGTTCTCAAGAAGGCATCCTGACTATTCTGTCTCATTGATACTGAGACTTGCCAAGGCATATGAAGCTACACTGGAGAAGTGCTGTGCCACCGGTGATGATGATGCATGCTATTCCAAAGTGGTAGGTTTCACAAAGGAAACATGAAATGTAGCTCTTTGACTGGTAATTCCAATAATAAGAAAGAAAAATAATGCCAGAATGCAAAATGTTACATAATGCAATTGAGGCATTCTCTTGAGATAATTTCAATTTTGTGCTCTTAAACATTTTAGGAAAAATGGCCTCAATAGAATGGTTAATAAAACCTAGAATAGTCTAGAAAAAAAGGCTTTGAGGAGAGCAAGCTCAAATTTCACAAAATCTTGACAGTATCTTTCCTCATTTTTACACTCTTGAGAACAAAATAAGACAAAGTAAATGTAAATGTTAATTAAAACAGATGTAACCTAGATATGAAGAAAATAACCTGATTTCAAGATTTATCAAGTATCAAGAATTAACATTTTAAGGAAGTTTATGAAATCAATTTATTCAGATTATTTTCAAGTCTCTTTGAAAGGTTAGCAATGGTTTTATAAGAAACTAAGTAAGGAGAGGAAATCTATTCTGGAGGATTTTCTATTATATTTTGCTATGCTAAAATGGGATGTTAGCAGGTTTAGGATATTTAGCACTTTTAACATATGTAGTGGTTTCCCAGCTTTTTTGCTCTACCAAGAAACTGCTATCTGCCAGGCACCATGCTGGATCCCATGACCAAGGTAAAAGCTCTTATTTCAGAGAGCTCAGGATCCAACTGAAGAGATGCCTTAAAAATAATACTGCTTATAATCATAGCTGTAGTTTACTGAGCTTTTACTGTGTTCCAAGCACTGTCATAATTTCATTAGCTCAGGTAGTTTTTAAAGAGCATTCTCTGAGGTGTGTACCATCTTCATGTCCATCTGAGAGGTGACGTTTCTAAAACTTGGTGATTGGAAGTAAAGTTCCACCCCTAGAAGATGAGTCAGATGACCTGGCTCAAATACCAGCAGCCACACTCTGAGCCTGAATATTCTTAATCACTTCTGTGCAGTTTGGAGGCACTGTAACACGTTTGGCATCAAAGGTTCAATTATATGTCTTTGGACAGAAAGGAAGAAAGCTCTCATTCTGCCTATAAGGGTGAAAAACAGCCTGCACCTGGTCCTCGGGTGGAATCTTGTAAACACAATTCTTTAATCTTTTAGTTGGATGAACTTCAGCCTCTTGTGGATAAGCCACAGGAATTAATGCACAAAAATTGTGAAATTTTTGAAAAAGTTGGATGGTATGGCTTCCAAAATGCGTAAGTATTTTGTTTTTGACTAATTTTTTTCTTGATCAGTTTTTAATTTTTAAAGGCTTTATGTATATACCAGCTGTTATACAAGAAAATACAGCATTTCTAATCCCTCTCCATCAAGAAAGACCGGAGAATGAGAGAGAAAATAGTCGATGGGTTGAAGAGGCCTATATTTGAGTGCAGTTTAAAAAAATTAGCCTCATGGAATGGGAAGGAAAGTACTAAATCTTGGAATATAGGAACTGAGGATGCCCTTTGAAGGTTAAGGAATAGTTTATGGACAAACAAAAGAAAGCAATGCTTTCCAGAGTAGGAAATAGTTGGATTTGAATAGCAGTGGCTGAAGAAGTGCTATAATATATAAGTTGATAGACTAGTATCCTGATGTAATAGAACCTTTCCTGTGGAGGTAAAGACAAGAAGGGACACATCATTAGGTAGATACTTACTGTTCAACTTACACATGTCAGCACTCTTCTAATGGTGGGTGCTAGAGATAACAATAGTGAACAAGTCTCTTCCCTTGAGTAGATTACAGTCACACATTGACTTTCAACTGGAATTCTTAATGAAAGATTGTTCCATGCTAGATATCATCCTAGGTTGATGGCATACCTTATGTCTTTTAAGTTAATCCTTGTCCCATCCCTATTGAGTCAGGTACATGTCCTCCCATTTTATAGATGAGAAAACTCATCCATATTTTTCAAATTTAGCACAGTGCTTGATTAATGGGTGGGCAAGAGTAAGTTTACAGTTGTGAGTATGCTAAACACAGAGTTAACAAATCTATTGTAATAATCATCACCTGCATGTCTTCTCCATATGCACAACTGTAAACCTACTTCAGCCCAGCCCTGCATATTAAGTTCTCAGTAGATTTTACAGAAAGAAAGAAGCAATTAATAAATACATTGTCACTGAATTGTAGTAAGTTAAGTCACTTCCCTAAGATTATACAGCACAGGTGGAATTCAACGTTAGGCTTAACTAGTTGCTTAGGACAAGTTCTCCCCCACTCCACCCCACCAACCTAAAGATGGCGATAATTTTATAATTGGAAAGTTATTGTAATTGATTTTGTCTAATTGTTGTTTGCTTCACCTACTATGATAGAAAAAATAGTTTCTTGCCTGGCTGAAAACACATGGACTATTTTATTATAGGCTGCTGATTCGTTACACAAAGAAACTACCGCATCTGTCAACTCCAACCCTTGTGGATCTCTCACACAAACTAGCAGACATGGGCAGCAAGTGTTGTAAGCTTCCCGAATCACAAAGGACGGCTTGTTCTGAAGACAATGTGGGTCTTTTAAAATATAATAAGTCAATAATGATGAATTTTTGCCTTGAGATATTTACAGTTAACTTTCAGAAGTAGGAGTGAACTTTGTGTGTGTGTGTGTGTGTATGTGTGTGTGAGTGGCAGCCAGGACTTGGTTGCCGACATTATCCTGACCATCAGAATGAGGATTGAGATAAGATCCTGAAGATGATAAGTTGTTTTGGAAAAATTCCATGAATTTTTAATGTTTCATCCTGGCGTTTAAATTTTTTTTTACTTTTTTGGGGGGTCTTTCCCTTAATATTAGTATAAGACCGCTTTGTCCCCACTCCAAAACATACCTTAGGACTCACTTGGAATTATTTTAATCAATTATTTTCTCAAATTAATTATTCTGCAAGTGTAGACATATCTAAAAGGGAAAAGACTTTTAAAAGCCCCTTATTGTTTGTAGTAAGGACATGACTGCCTCAAATCAACCTTCCATTCATTGTTGCTAATGAAAATACAGCACTTCTTTTGGTTCATTGGAAAGTAGTAGTTCATGGAAAACTTTTTATTATGCTTCTTTTGAGTTTCTGCTCTACTTCAGCTGTCCTCAGTCGTGAACGAGTTGTGCTTGGCACATGAGAAGACACCAGTGAGCAACAGAGTTACCAAATGCTGCACAGAGTCATTGGAGAACAGACTGCCATGCTTTTCTTCTCTGGAACTTGATGAAACTTATGTTCCCAAAGTATTTCGTACTAATACATTCACCTTCCATGCAAATGTATGCACACTTTCTGAGTTTTCGCGACAGGTCCAGAAACAAACGTGAGGAGCATTTCATTACTGCATGTTTGTAATCTTGATAGTGAGAACTGTCAATAGAGTGGGTAACTTTTTCTGAAGTAGTGATTAAATTCCTTAGGAAAGATTATTTAAGTATTGGCCTTGTTAAGGTGATAAAAGTGTCAAAAAATAAAATGGATAGGATTCTGTTTCCGTAGCCAAACAAATAAACAACAACAATAAAACTATATTATAATTTTGCCTAGAAATCATTCAGAATAATCTTGTGGATAAAGGCTGCAGTAGAAAAATATCTTAGCACAGGTCTAGTAGAAAAAGCTGAACAATTAACTGGTTCATTTGTGCAGATAGCAAATTAGTTAGCAGCAATCTTAGAAGAACTTATTTCTAGGCATAAATGATGATTTTAAGTTTGTTCTATGGCAACCCACAGGCAAGGCAAACCTCCAAGATGTAACTTTTGAGAATGGGATTTGGATGAAAAAGGTCTAGAAATGCGAGTTCTGAAGCTTGACTCCCTACTGCTGTTACAAGGGGTTAGAGGTGCAACGTAACGTCGTTGTGTCTGGTGCGTCCTGACTGTGGCCACAGACTTAAGAGGGTTATTGCGAAACTTACTGTGCTCACAGACTCACTGTCTGTGCAGATGTCAGTGAGAGAGAACCACCAGCTCCCATGAGCTTGGATGGTCTTGTTTCCCGTGGCCTCGCACTATTCATTTTGAGTGGGCCAAATTTCAAAGACCAAATATATAGCTTCTTGGATTAGAAACTTTTAAGTGGAGTCCAAGAAAATTAAGCTGTTGAGGATCACTTTTAGCTCTTAAACTGCTGTAAACTTCCATATGGCATAAATTTCAAAATTTGAATAATTTCTGAATGCAAGGACAGAATCCTTTCCAGAGATTTAACTGAAAAGAGGTTTATTGACAGTACAGATGTTGACAGTTTACATCGGTGATGTTGTTTGACCCTTCCACCCACCCTGGGGAGGCAGGCCTCTCCTCCTTGTGCAGACGAGCCTGCTGAGCTCCAGGGTGGTGAGCCTGGGCCTGCGCTCAGAGCTGCCTGGCTCCGAGACTGAGAGAGCCAAGCGACAGCCCTGCTGCCTTCACCATCTCCGTTTCCCTGTGTGTGAGTAACTCTTCTCTTCTCTTCTCTGTTTTGCTTTGCTTTGTTTTCGTTTAAATGCAGTTTACTTGTGGAGCTGTTGAAACACAAGCCCAAGGCAACCGATGAAAAACTGAAAACTGTTACGGATAATTTCTCAGCTTTTCTACAGAAGTGCTGCGCAGCTGCTGACAAAGAGGCCTGCTTTTCTGAGGAGGTGCTGGAGTGGTTTTTATTTTAATATATATAGTGTTAAGGCTAAGGCTCAGGGGTCTGTATATCTGAAGGACACTCAGTACATGTGGGACAGGAATCTTATTCTACACACAGTTGTCTGAAAAAATGACTTCCATTAGCTCTTTTTAAAAAAATCTTCTCTACTGAAGTATATTATTAAAAGTTTGCAGTATTTGTTCTGTTTCCAAAGTTGGGTCATTTATGAATACAGTTAGATATATTCAGAATTTCTGAAATCTTCTGGTAGAGGCATCACTAAACCAAAACTTTAATTTATTTAAGCATTTTCTTTAAAAGTTCTGGTTTGTGATTTGGTGGAATCTGAGTGCTTGATTTCACAGGGAGTGGGGAAGTTTAAATTTAAATATCTGAGTCATTTAAAATTTTTCCTTATGACTTGACAGTAATGTTTTTAGTTTTTTGGGCACAACGGGTGTCAGTAAGTTTCCTTCTAGAGATTCTAGTGCTAAGCTGGAATTAAAGGATGTGAAGCATGGAGAATTACTTTGTAATCATCAATGGATGTATAAATGTTCATTTTTATCCAAATAATGGTACTACTACTTCCCCTAAATCTGTCATTTCTTTGTATTCAGGGTCCAAAACTTGTTGCTTCAAGTCAAGCTGTCTTAGCCTAAAAACAACACAATCACAAGCGTCTCAGGTAACCATCCTCTGGATTTTCTTTAAAAAATTAATTATAATAGTTAATATTAAAAGAGCTAAGAGCCACATGGACCAGTGCCAATCACTGTTTTAAGGTCCTTGTATATATTAACTTATTTAATCCTCAAAATAGTTGCCTGAGTTGAGTTCCATTATTATTTCCATATTTCTGATGGGAAAATGAAAGCACAGATCAAAGCATAGACTAAGTAGTTTACCCAAGGATCACCCAGCTGGTGAGAGGTGAAGCCACAATTCAAAATTCAAACCAGAGCTTGACAGTTAATCACTGTCCTGTTCTGACCTAATGTGACACAGTAGACAGAGCCATTCAACTAAGCAATGATTCACAGTGGATTACTTCAGGTATTAGGCTGGACAACTCGCGTTTTTGTAGGTTAAAAAACAAGTTGAATGACAATGACTTCACAAGGTTCAACCTACTAGCTCAGTAACAAATAAACATTGTTGGAGAATATGAGAGATCTGCTGTGTGAACTCCTACTTAATAGTAAATAACGTGCTACTAAGTTTCCAGTGTGTCAGCATGCTAAGATTTAATAGAATTTCTCTTCTTAGGTCAAAAGGTCCACTTTAAAATTTCGATGTTTGACCATAAACCTGTTTTATCCATTTTGGCTACAATATTTTGGGGAAATTAAAAAAAATAAAGTTTCTTCTTATAAAAGGCAACTTGTCCAACAATTTTTAGCACGGATTACTTTCAGATTTTCCGAACGGAGCATGATGCTTATTCCACTGCTAGACTTTGCCCACATGATAATACCTACATATTGTGCATTCATGAATGGAAGAAGCTCCTATCTCTGCAAACTTGGTTGTTTCAAATATAGTTTGTTTCAGTCCTAAATGGCAACTAACTTGGAGAAGACACCTTGTTTTTTTTGTAATTAACGTAGGTAAGGAATAGGTGTTAAGTAAATGACCCTGAGGAGTGATGATGGAAGCCTGTGACTTTGAAGCCTGAGGAGTATGAAGACATCAGTGATAAAGAGAGGACTTTACAGTACTTAGTGGGGGGTCCTCTTCCCTAGCTCAGCCAAGAATTCAGCTGCCATGAGTCTAGGGCAAGCTTGAATTATTTTCATTGGTGAAAATTGGGTATTGCCAGACAGTCTAAGCAATTTGACATTCATTTAAATAGATTTGAAGAACACATGCCATTTTACAAACGGTACTTATATTGGTACTTTTATTTTTCAGCTTACACTGAGAGAAAGAAGAAATGAAGACCCAATGCCTATTTGTCTGTTTTTCCTTTCGTTTGGTGTAAAACCAACAGCCTATCTAAAAAAACATACATTTCTTTAAATATTTTGCCTCCTTTCTCTGTGCTGCAATTAATAAAAAAAAATTAAAAAACTAATATTATTGTTCAGGACTGTTATTTTTCAAGAATAGTTGCCATCCTGAAAATTTTGTAAGTTCTGTGAAAGTCTCACTGTTCTCTTTCCCCCACTTCAGTGGAGGACTTCTCATTCCTAATGGGCTAATTTATTAATAGAAACATTAATACTCTTCTGAGTTGTGGATTATAAACATTTAAAGATCCATTTTAGCATTATGATAATTCTTAATAAAAGAATAAACATGCGGTATAGGTAGGGTATATAAAACGTAGCTTTTCCTTAGAACTCTAAGGAAACTAAACTCTCGAAGAAATGTGAGGGACAGGAAGATAGAGATGATTGTGAGGATAACTAATTTAATGGGGAAAAACCACTGGTCCTGGAAGAAATTTCACAGTCTAGGAGGACAATAGATGAAGAGTGTAAGAAATTTAACAAGTGTGGAGAAACATAAGTGGAAGCGGGAATTAGGAGGTCGGGACAAAAGCACAGTAAGGCATGATTAAGGTTACTGAATTGAGGAAGTGCAAGAGTTGGAGGGTAAAATTTTCCTGTAAAAATTAGATGTTATATTCAATATTGGGCCTTTTCCCCCTGTTTCCAGAGGTAGTCACTGGTATCAGACCATTGTCTATGAATTTACATACCTAAAAGTCATTTATAGCACTGTTACCTTGTGTATTTTTTATTTTATAATATGATAGAATTGATTTCACACTATACATGCTATTCCACAGCTTTATTTTGTCCTTAATAATAATACTTTATAGTTTTATTTTAAGTAAGATGCTTGCAAAAGCTTTTGTTCCAAGTTGAAATAAATAGGCTCCTTTTGTATCTGGAATGTTACGTCCCACACTCTCCCCCTATCCTCACCCAACCCCCACTTTGGCTGCATCTTGAATATATCAAATACTTTCCCACATTTGTTGCAATCATCACAAAGATGGAAGAGAGCCCGTGAGGGGAGAAATGGAGATGGAATGGCTTGTTGAGGGTCCCAAGGGCAGACCTAGAAAATTTTGAGTCAGGTGTTTCCACATAACTGGACCTACACGGGACTAGGTCTGAGCACCCTTGCCTGGAAGGTCTTGCAGTCCAGGCAGCAGATGGGGACTTAAAACTTTTGGAAGAAGACATTCCAAAATGTGGGACTCGTGGAGCCCAGCTTTCCCCGCTTTCTGTGAGTCAAGCAGATTCTTGAAGTTGCCTGGACATTTGAGCCTAAGAGCGATCCAGGAGCCCAGTGTCCTCTCTGGTTCTGAGACAGCGGGATGGAAAGTGCATCGTTCTGCTGGATGGTTCTCACTGCATGTCTTTTGCTGCACAGTGTGNCGCAGCCTGGAAAATTCATGGTCTAGCTCGCTGACTTCCACTGTCTTTTGCTGCATAGTTCCAGAGATTAGGCAACCAGAATTGTTGGGCAGACACTCAGATGTGTGTGTGTTTGTGTGTGTATGAAGTGTTCTTTTCATTTTCTGTCAGGAGGTACATGACAGCCACATAATTTATCACCAGGGATGTTAAGAGTGTGCACTTGGTTAAGATAGTATTTGCCAGGTTTCTCCACTAAACAGTTACTACGTTTCCCTCTCCATATCTACTTTTGGAGGCAAGTCACTAAATCCAGCTCATACTCAAAGAGAGTGAGGGAGGAGATGAAGTTCCTGGAAAGATGAGTATTAACATATATATTCAGATTTCTTTTGTAAAAATTATTTATCATTTTATTATTTGCTTATTTATACCACTATGAACTCATGTACATTTATTTTATACTTTGGGTTGTAATTCAGTGCTACATTATTGATTATTGTGACTTAAATTATTCCAATTTGGCTTTTGGAGGTCTCAAGTTGGCTCCTTGTGTCCCTTTGATGTGCCCCTAAACTTTGTTTTTTGAACACATCTTAACTTTCTGGCACTACAAAATTCTCCAGGCTCATCTTGTCCTTTCCCTCCCCCAGACCTGGAAACTGCCATTTCTTCAAGGAGCTCTGGTTCTGTTTAATACAGTGTTATTAGAAACAAAGTTCTGAGCACTGGGTGTGCTCTTTGCTAATGGGGTATCACTGCTTCTAGACTGTTTCAGGGAACAACTGAAAAATGTAGGTTTGTATACTCACCCATGTATATCCACATACCTGTCATTATTTCTGTATCTGTCTGTCTGTCCATCTGGCTAAATATGAGCTCATACTGATGTTTCTGACTCTGCTCCAGAGCCATAGTTTATTCTGAATTATTAACATTGTCTCCATAATCTTCTTAAATCTATCATTAAAAGAACAAATCAAGATTCAATTGTTAATGTTTCCAAAAATAAATAGAAATAATTTTACGTGTTTTTAAGTACTCTGTTGAATATAAACGATATTCATCATTAGTAGCATACATTTGAATTTGCTGGTTGAATTAGTTACTCTTGGCATCTATTTTTCTTTTGTGCAGATTCATAGTTGAGTTGCTTTACTCTATTGCTTTTTCATTTATAAATTTTTCATGTAAAAAAAGTAAATTCTACTATAATGAGAGACAGGGGACTCTTTACCAGAGTTTTGACCCTAATTATTTATATAACTCTCAGTAAATCATTTTCCCTTTCTAGGTCTCTGACTTCTCCCCCACAGAGGAGATTGTATGAGATGAACGAGATGGTCTCTAAGGTTTCCTTCAGATTTTATGATATGTGATGATGTTACATTATATGTATTATTCTTACATATTTGCTGTTTCTTCCGATGAAAGGTTGGTAAGTCCCCATCCTGTGATGTCAGACTTAGCCATGTGACTCATGGTGTCTTTCCTGCATTAAGTTTATATCTCTCAGTTCAGTGATGTCAGGTGTTGCCAGGTTATATGCATAGGCCAAAGGAGTGTAAGCAGAAGTTATGTGTGCCATTTCTGGCCAGAAGCTCTAAGAAGAGTCATCCTAGGTCCTGCTCTCTCTCTTTTCCCTCTCCACAACAATTACAAACTTCCATATAGAGGCTACTTTATACCTGGATTATGAAGGGAAGAGAATGTGGAGCACACAGCTAATAAAGTTGACAAAGTAAAAACATTTTTGTTGTAAGTGCTGTAAGCCCCTGAGAGACTGGGATTTTTATCATTGTAGCATAATCTAACGAAAAATTATGGTATGGTATGAAAACTTATCAATAATTGCTTATCAGTTCATAATTAAAATTTTAAATAATTAAAATTGAATATAAAACTCATAAAGGCAATGTATATGCATATGTATGTATGTATAAAGTTAAAAATAAAACATAAGTATAATATTTACATTAAGGAAATTGACCTATATATCTACTCACAATATCCCTTGCAGTTTCTACCTTTAATCCTTGAATGGCTCTGCCAAGTAAAAATGATTATTTTTCAAAAGCAATTCTTCATTAGTAGATATTACATATCTACTCGATATGGCAATATTCCTTTGAGATTCAAGATTTCCAAAGATTAAATCAAGAGTAGATCTTTTCCTGAAGTAATATGATATGTTGACTCTGTTATTGTCTTTTTATGGCTGGTTAAAGAACCTGAAAAATCTTCAATCTTTCCAATACTTCATTTTTTGCACAAGAATATTGACTCAT